AATCATTTAACGCTACTAGATGCGAAAATGATACAGAACTTTTTAAAGAAATATGGAAACATAAAAATGCAGGTATTATGCCGTTAATCAAGTGGGACATAATTAAAAAGTGTCAATCATATAATCCATCAACTAAAAGATGTAATTTTTGTTTATATGAAAAATATTTAATTATGACTTATGATCAAGGATCATAACTTAATAAAAAAAGTGAGTTGGTTTCTTCTTGCAGGCATAGAAAAAAAAATCTGCTTTCACAATTCAATACTGGAGATTAGGAACTCACGATATCGTCTGACGTAAACTTGACGTCAGATACCGTTGCAACGCTAAAATAATGTATTTTTTAACGGTTTTTTATTTTGTAATTTGGAATAATATGGCTGAATGATTGCCAAATGGCATGAAACTAATAGTTCCATAAAAAATTGTATTTTTTTTTTATTTAAATTATATAAACATAATTCGATCTATTTTACAAAGAAATATTGATCACTCTTAAGCAGACAAGAGCTGTATTTTCAACAAAATACTATACATATCAACAATTAAATATTTATATATATATATATATATATATATATATATATATATATATATATATATATATATATATATATATATAAATATATATTTCATGGCCTACTTAAATTACATGGCCTGATTTGTTGCATTTTCTGTAAAAAATTAAGAGGCTAGTTTTTTTACGGCTCAAGTATAAAAACTTAATTTTCGATATGGTTATGAGTCTTGTTTGCACTATAATTGGTTTATTCTTATTTTATTAAAATGGTTTAATAATAGTTAGATTTTATTTGAGTACTCACACTATTTTGTGCTGGATTTTTTTGTCAACCGATCGCCTGTTTCAGTTTATTCTAATAACACAGAATACTAAAATAGGCTTTCAGATAGCTATATCAACACATACCAACATGCTACTAAAAATAACCTTACATGTTGCTAAGATTGTCTCAAACTCTTCATTGAAAAAAAAATCAAAGGTTTGTAGTTTTGTATTTTTTATAATTGAAATTAAAAGAAGAAATACCTTTTTACTAGGAATATTTATTTTGTCTTTGCCTTTTTTGTAATTTTTTTACTTGATCTTTACTCAATGAATATGTAACTTCTTTTTGCAAATTGTTATAAAAATATTATTAACAATACGAGATCTTTATTTAATTCCCCACTTTTGGTGCTTTTCATTAGTAAAATTGTCATTGCTACAACAAATCTATAAAATTTGTTTTGCAAATTTTTAATTGAAAAAGAATGACTGCAATTTTTTATTTGAATAAGAGAAATAACATAAAATACTAAACAGAAGACAAATAAAGTTAGACAGGTTGAATTGCATATATAGGTTCTTCTCTGTATGAAGTAACATTTATTAATCATAAATTTCACATAAAAATCTGTTAGTTAATTTTTACCTTTATTCCTTGCTTTAGTATATAAATCTGTGCTATTTTTAAAAAGCTGACACTAGTAATTATGTAGTCAACTAAGCTAAATCTTGCATAATATTTTTTAATGATTATCAAAATTCTGATAAAATATTGTTTGGGAAACTCCGCGAAAATCTTTTTACTAATGCATGTTTCTAATTATACTTACTTTTTTACTAATGCGTGTTTTTAATTATACTTACTAAAACCTAGCTCCAAAAGATTACTTTGTAAATTAGAACTAAGAACAACTGTAAAGCCTTCCTCAAAAAAATCATTCATAAGAGAGTTGCTATTCATTAGTGAGTTGCTATTCATAAGAGAGTTGCATTCAGAGAGTTGCAAGAGAGTTCAAGAGAGTTGCATTCATAAGAGTTGCAGTTGCAAGTTGCAAGTTACTAAAGTTGCAAGTTACTAAAGTTGCAAGTTTGCAACCAAGTTGCAAACTTGCAACTCAGTTGCAAGAGAGTTGCATTCATAAGAGAGTTGCATTCATAAGAGAGTTGCTCGTAGGGTTGTTATATAAGCACAAGAAGTTTTTTTGGTTAATGTAAAGTATTTATCAAATTTTATTTTGATTAAATTTCAGTACTATTTGCAATTTCTCTATAAAGTGTGGGTTTGTTATCAGCTTTGCTGAGTTTGATTGGATAAATTAAGTTTCTGCTTTGAATTAAGTATGATAAATAACTTATAAAATAATGATTAAAGTGTGTTGATTATTTTCTCAATCTTCATCAAATTGTTTACAACTTTGAGATTGAGCTGCTTTTTGGAAGTACATCTTAACCACAAGAAGCAGATAATCACTTAACAACAAATTTTTGTCAATAATATTTCTAATATAATATAGTTTTTTAATTTGTAATTTTCACCACTGCGAAACCATTTTAATAAAGAAATATGAAAATAATAAATATGATAAGCATTTATTAGGCAATGAAAAATTAAGAATTTTATTAACAGATATTGACTCTAAAACAGTTGGTATGCCTGATATTTCTTGGCCTGTTTTGTTGCATTTTAATTGCTGTATGTATGAAACACAAGCATAGTAGAGTATTTACATTTCAAAACGTTGTTTTGCAGTGTGAATATTTCAAAGAAAAATCGATTTTTTATATCTAATAACTGCAATTATAATAAATACAAAAGTACAAACCTTTAAAATTATTTCCAATGGAGAGTTGTGGGTAGTTTTAGCAACATGTAAGGTTATTTTTAGTAGCATGTTGGTATGTGTTGATATAGCTATCTGAAAGCCTATTTCAGTATTCTGTGTAATTGGAATAAACTGAAGCCGGCAATCAGTTAACAAAAAATCCAGCACAAAATAATGTAAGTACTCAAATAAAATCTAACTATTATTAAACCATTTTAATAAAATCAGAATAAACCAATTATAGTGCAAACAAGACTCATAACCATAGCGAAAATTAAGTTTTTATACTTGAGCCGTAAAAAAACTGGCCTCTTAATTTTTTACGGAAAATGCAACAAATCAGGCCGTGTAATTTAAGTAGGCCATGATATATTTATATATATAAATATATATTTATATATATAAATATATATTTATATATATAAATATATATTTATATATATAAATATATATTTATATATATAAATATATATTTATATATATAAATATATATTTATATATATATATATATATTTAAACCACAATTTGACTTAATTGATTGCACTCAGTGGCGTTCCTAGTTATGGTGTCACCCGGGGCGGCAAATAGGGTGTCACCCATATATTATATGTAATTATTTTTATATACGAAATTATTAAAGCAGTATTTAGAAACGTTGACCCATGTAATTTTAAACCTTGTTTTCGACAATAATAATTTAGTGTCTATAGCTCTCTATAAAAAATTCTCGTCTATAACAGAGAAAATAATTATGTGAGACTGTTTAATTATAAACCAAAATAAAATATAAGATATTAATAAATTGGGTGTCACCCAAAAATAGATGACACCCGGGACGGTGAGCCCCCCCCCCCCCGTTCCCCTCGTAGGTACGCCACTGATTGCACTGTTATTGGAAATAAATTTGTTTTTGCAAAGTTACCATTTTGTTTCAATCAAGGCAACTGGTTCCCTAAATTATAACACTTTGATTCCTTAATCAAAACAGGTTATTTTAAAAAGAAAACCCAGTAAAATCAACAAAAATTTGTAAAAAATAATTTTCATTTTCAAACTTATTATAGGATTAGTATTACCCTGACAAATTTAAAGTCTACAAACATAAAATTGTATAAAGCTTCAACTGTTATGACGTTTTCTTAACTTATTGATTAAAACTCACTAAATAAATTTTTTTTTTTTAAGGTTTATGGTTGTTACTAAGTATTTTTTTAATTGCACTGGAACTATTTTTACAACCCTTTGATTTTATTACTGATTAAATAAGGAAAACTTTAATGTTGCAATCAACTTTCGAACTTTGTAATATCACTACAGTAACATGCTTGCAGCAACTTATAAGATAAGTTTATATTGTTATTTTGCATTTTAAATCCCATCGAATTAAATACAAAAAACGGTATAACCTATAGCATCATAGTTTACCCAGCGCAATCAATATAGTGCAAACACAAAATTTGATCACTGAAAAAAAATGACGCAAAAAACCTTTAAATCAATGGTGCAAACGCATTTTTTGAGGAATAACTTTCAAAATGTGTCAAAACGTAGAAAATAATGCGTTTTACTAAAAAAATGCAAAATGTAGCCATAATTCATTTTTTTTTCAAAATTAAATGCAAGTGTTCCAATTAAGGGGCTGTTCCATTTTCGGCAACTCTCCCCTATGTATATATATATATATATATATATATATATATATATATATATATATATATATATATATATATATATATATATATATATATATATATATATATATATATATATATATATATATATATATATATATACATATATATATATATATATATATACATATATATATATATATATATATATATATATATATATATATATATATATATATATATATATATATATATATATATATATATATATATAATATATTATATATATATATATATATATATATATATATATATATATATTTATATATATATATATATATATATATATATATATATATATATATATATATATATATATATAATATATTATATATATATATATATAATATATTATATATATATATATATATATATATATATATATATATATATATATATATATATATATATATATATATATATATATATATATATATATATATATATATATATATATATATATATATATATATATATATAATATATATATATATTGGATAGGAATTTGACACAAAAGAATAGACAATTTATAAATGTTTTTGCTTGAAATAAGCATGCATTTTAGGTGATTTTTTTTTTTGAAATGCGGGACAGGACGATCCGAAGAATTTATTTGTTGTATGAAAATAGGTTTCTGCCCAATTAACACTAGGACCAAAGTTGTTTTTTAAATGTGTTGTTTTTAATTTTATTTAGGATGTTAATTATCAATTCAAAATGAAAACAGATCGTTTGGAAATGCTTAATTGGTTACGTATTGAGAAAAACACGATAATAAATTCATAAAACATTTAAAAAAAAATTATACTTTAATGTATTGTTCGGTTTATAACTTGATGTTTTGATATAGTTTTGTGTATTATTTTTTTTATGCCTTTCAACCTCCCTCCCCCCTCTCCCCATGTGTCATTTTTAACCCCCTAACTTCACTTCCCCTCATCTTCTCATCTCCACACACTCACTAACCCTCAGTATGTGACGTGCAAGTTTTTTGAAATATTATTATCGAGTTTTTAATTAATGATATGTCTACCAAATATCAATATCAATGAAAAGATATATTAAATGTCTGTTTGTAATTTTATCTTAATACGTTGTAATAAAAATTAAAGGTAAAAAAAAGTAATACTGTAGCTACCATCTTTTCTACCGCTAGACTGTCACGTCACAAGAACTAATTTAACAGTTTTTTGTTTCTTTTAAGCTTTAAAATTGTTTAATAGTTTATTTGCTTACTTTTATGCTTTATAAAAAAGTCTTAATTTTACTTAAGTTACTTTTATTTAGTTTACTAATTACATTTGTTTCTTTTTTACTCAGGCAAACCTCAAACCAATATCTCCGAAGCTTGTTTAGGCTAAAAGTTCTTTGACGTTGATATTTTTTAATTGTTATGAATTTGTTTGACAGGTTAGCGGTAATAAACCTCAAGTGTGGGAGGGGGCATATGCTGTAAAGCAATTGCGTTCAATATCTAACATTTAACGTACTCACGTGTACTGGTGAAATTATTTTATTATCAAATTAACTTAATAAAATTATACGACATCTTTGTTAAGACATGTCATAATATATTTTTAATGTAATTTGGTAACGCGGTAACGATAAAGGTCTGCCTCTTGTTAATAATGGTGTCCCGCTACATTTTCCCCCCGTATTTTCATTGCCCCAAAACAAATGAATAGCGACAAGGCTTTTCCCCGGGAAAGTAATTCTAAAGAAAACTTTCCAGTTAAAAATATTTTTACGCAATTTTTTTTTTTTTTTCAGAATACAACGCTAATACCTAATGAGTCTTGCGAGCCACTTCTAAGTAAGCTTTGATCATTAAACGTGTTCAAAATCAATATAATTAATATTTATTCTTACAGTTCATGTATAAAATAAAGCACGAACTGTCTCCAACTATATTTAATATTTTGGTGAAATAAGCCACCAAATTCAATTTTGTAACTCTAAAATATAATCTAAAGTTATGTTCTTATTCTATTCAGTATCGGGGATCTTTTTTATGGAAAAGTTATAAACAGATTGTTCATAATACAGAACAAACATTTCCGCCATACAAAGCTAATTTAAAATATAATTTAGTAAATACGGATTTTAATATTCTAAATATTGACAGTTTTTAGAAGTTATCAAGCTAAATTTATAACGATACATTAACTTTATCAACTTTAACATGTTAACTACTTAAAAACTAAAAATAAGAAGAAATCAAAAAGAATCAACTTTTGTATTATTAAGAATATCAGTGTCTTTATCACACTTTTTTGAAAAATATTTATTTTAATTATTATATTTATTGAAAATATATATTTTTTTAATTACTTTAAATATGCAGTATCTATTCGTAAATTATTATACATTTATTTTGTTTCTAAAACTTTTATATATTTTATGTTGTTTTATTATGAAAACGACAATACGAGGCAATATGTATGTGTGAATGTGTTAGTATGTATGTTTGTGTATGTATATACACGTATATATTTATACATTTTATTTCTTTCTTAAATAGCTTTACTTTTAGTTTTTTGTCCCTTTTTGTTTCTTAACTTCTTATAATATATATTTAATTTTTTTCAATTTGTTTATTCAGAAATCAATAATATTTATAACAATTTTAGTCCATGAAGAATAAAATGTTTATAATATATCGAGGAAGAGGTGCAGCACAAGGCACCTCCATGCTGACAAATATCGGACACACGATGTGTCTATACTTATACTGTTAATGCATCGAATCGACTTTTGAATGCGTCGGTTGAAAAGGTGTTAACAACATTTGATGGTAAAGCTTTCCATGCGTTGACTACGCGGTTTGTGAAGAACTTTTCTCTTTCGACACAGTTCTTGACTATCGGCTTGGTAAGTCTTAAGCTATTGCCACGAAGGTTATACTGGGAAAGCGTTTGCGCGTAGACTTGAGGCACAACAAATTCGATTTTCTCAATATCATGCGTAATTTTATATTGCTGAATTAAATCATTTCTAACTCTTCTATCTTCTAGTTTGGTTAGTCCTAGAATTGTAAGTCTTTCATCGTATGATTTATGTTTGATGTCTGTAATCAGCTTCGTCGCGCGCTTTTGAATTCTTTTGAGAGCCTTGATGCCTCCCTTCAGATGTGGCGACCACGATTGGATGGCGAATTCAAGGTGTGGTCTAACATACGATTTGTAAAGGAATTTCCAAAGTATGAGATCTCTAGATCTCGTTCGACTGAAGTCGTATCCAGTTCTTGTTTTATTCCCATCTGATCAGTCTTTGTGTAGACGTAGACTGATTTGTTGGAGCGACCTACGTGCATGCATCTGCATTTGTATGAGATCTCTGCTTCTGAAAAACCTACGTGCATGCATCTGCATTTGTCCCAGTTGAATAGTAATTGCCACTTTTTGGACCATTCTACAGCGCTATCAATATCTAGCTGGAGACGTGCATTGTTCTCCTCTGCTTTGATTACACCTAGTATTTTGCTGTCGTCAGCACATATCTTGATGTGGTTAGCTATGTTGTCCGGTAGGTCATTAATATAGAGGATAAAGAGCAACGGTCCTAGCACCGATCCCTGAGGCACCCCAATAGTTACCTCTTTTCACTCAGATTCAGCTTTGCAAACAACAAGGTGCCGCATAAACCATAAGCTTTTAGTTTATTCAGAAGCCTTTTGTGCTGCACTTTGTCGAAGGCTTTCGCAAAATCAGTGTATATCACGTCTATGGAACAGCCATGATGTATTGCATCTGTCAGAATATCGCGAGCTTCTAGTAGATTAAACACACAGCCCCGCCAAGATAAAAAACCGTGTTGAGATTTTGTGAATAGACCATTGTTATAGCAGTGCTTCATGATTCGCTTATGAATGAAGCTCTCCATTATCTTGCATGGTACTTATGTTTGTGATATTGGTATGTAGTTTGAGCGCTTCCTTCTGCTACCGGTCTTAAAGATTGGTGTTATATTTAACAGTTTCAATAGATTGGGTCAGAGAGGGACTTGCGGTAGATCATTGCTAATGGTACGGAGATTGCAGCAGCGTAATTGCGAAGTACACGAGGATGCATTCCATCATACCCTTTAGGTTTTGTTTCAATTAGTTTTTCAAGCTTTTGCTGTACAGCTTAATGCGTGATTGTAGCTTCATTTAAATTGCACTTTGCTTGGGTTTGATCTCTAAAGTTTGGGATTTGATCTAGAGGCTTATCAATAAATGCAGACTAAAAATAGTTATTAAGTAAATGTAAAATTTCTTGCATACTTGCAGTTATTTTTCCTGCATCGTTTTTGAGGGATTTCAGTATTTCATTACGTGTTCCTTACGAATTTCCTTATGCATCCATCTACTGGCTGCTAAGTATTTGCGCCATAGTGCTCTCTTCTCTCTCACAGCTACTTCAACTTCAGGGGTGTTCCATGGTTCTTTTTTACTCTTGAAAGGTAACGTAGTTGCAGGTATGTGGATTTCGATTGCTTTATTAACTTTTTCTATTAGTAATTTATAGTTGTCGTTAGCTAAAAAAGAATTAAAGATACTTATCCAATCGATGCTATTATTTGTGCTGAGATGGCATCGTAGTTTGCTCTGGTCCATATATACTTCTTTTCGTTGTTGTCTGTCATTCTGTTGTTGTTTGTTACAAATGAACCAATGATAAAGCAATGTGATTCACCTGCTGGTGTGTGACTTAGTGAATCGCCTTTATGAAGATCGATAGTTCGGTCTGGTTCGTCTGTGTTAAGTAAGTCAAGTATGCTTCTTGGCTCTTCTTCTCTATTTCTTCTATAGGTATGGAACGTTACCATTTGTGTAAGAAAGTTCATGTTTAGACATTGTTGGAATAACATATCACTTTGATGCTCATTTTGCACGTGGGTAACTGTTGCTGATGATCAGACTAAGTCAAATTCTTTGTATGTTGTGTGACTGAAGTTGAAGTCGCCGTACACTAACATGGATGAGCATTCTAGTTTTGAGATGCTTTGCTTCGCAGTATCGATTGTCTTTAATACTTTTTCAAGCATTACTTTTTCTTTGTCCTGCGGACGATAAATGCAACCCAGGAGAATTGTCTCTTAACCTAACTTTATAACTCGCCATACTTGCTCTATGTCCAATGAGTTCAATTGCTCTATACCTGTTTCAGCTACTGGTATATCATTTTTTATGTATATTACAACCCTTCCTCCCCTACCTGCTCTGTTGTTTTTGTGTGTTTGGTATCCTGGTAGTCGAATGTCTGACTTGTCGGTGAACCATGACTCTGCAAAAAAGAGCAAGTCTGGTTTGTCTGCTGATTCTTCAATGTCTATTCTCATCATCAGCTCATCTCGTTTGACACCGTTCAGTGAGCGTGGATTATTTGCCCAAAAATTGATTTGTTTGCAATTGGCTTTAATGGTAGTGGCAGAAGATTAGAAATTAAATGTGTTGGAGTCAGGTTGGTGAGGTTTAGGCTTGAGCCGTACTTGCCGTGGCCAACGTGATGGCAGTGGTTGCAGCATTATTTTGATTGTTGTTGTTACTGATAGCGGTGACTGATTTGATTTCGTTGAATTGATCTTTGCTGATCCACATACACTTCTTGTTGTTACTGGATTGTTCGACGTCGATGCATCGCACAGATCCAGTACGTCTGTGGATAATCCAGCGAAAGGGCTTATCCAATTTTGCCTTTACAAGCTCTTCATTCTTTCGTTTTTTCTTGTTTAATAGTTTGCTTATTGCTTCTTGTTCGACTAGAGTTCGGTCCTCGCGTGTGTAGAATTTGTGTGAATTTTTCTATGTTGTGGTAGTTACCCTTTCTCAGTGCCTCACGTTGAGTGATTGCAGATTTAAGTACTAC